TGCATAAATTCTTTGTGTGGTCCCAGGGTAGAGCAGACGAATACCCACAGGGGCCAGATTTCATACATCAACTACCCTCAATTCCACTCAGCTGTGCAGAATTACTTCCCAACTGAGTCAAAAAAAAAAAAAAAAAAAATATTATGGGAAAAAACTAAGCCAGGCGGGGGGCGGGGGTGGGTGGGAGGAATAAAACATCTACACAGTGCTCAATACAAGAACAGGTGCACCCCGCAGGGACCCAGGTGACAGGGGCCTGGCAATGTCAGCCCATACCTTTCAGGACCAGAGAATCTCTGGGGCTGGCTTGACCTGCTCACAGCCCAATGCACACCTGTGTTCCATGTCCTCCACGGCAGCTTCAAGTTGGCCACAGCGGGAGTATCTGCTCCACAGTGACAGGCACAGGCTGCCAATCAGGCCCCTCTCCTTGCCTCTGGAAGAGCTGGTGGGGAGAGGTCTGAGCAGCTGCTGCCGTCGCCAGCGAGATTCTAGAGTGCGGCAAGAAGCGGCCAAACTCCGTGGACAAGCCCACGCACCGTCCCTCTGCAAGCACCCAGGACAGCAGGTCTCATCTAGAATTTTCCTGGCTCCTGTGAGGTCTTTTCCTCATCTCCCCGACAGCGCTGAGCCCCGACACCCTGGCCAGAGTCCCTGGGGCATGGGGGCAAAGAGATCTTTCCAGCACTGACAGTGTCACGTGCGCCACGGTGTGACTGGCTTAGACCCCATCAATAACGCAGCAGAAGGGTGGGAATTTGCTTCCATGTCCTCTACTCTTTCGGGTTGGATCGGCAGAAAACAAATGTTTCCTGTGGCGGAGGGACAGGCGTGGGATCTGATTGATGACACTATCATCGCGCTGCTTCCACGCTTTCATCATTGCTTTGTGAAAGACTGTGCTGAGCTTGAACTCCTCCCTGCCCTGTGTTTTCCATTCGCTTTCTAAGATTCTGGAATCGACTGGCATTCCCTGGCAGAGCTTTGTTGCCGCAGGGCTGTTCTGGGCTTCTCTCACATTTGTATTCACCTGCCTCCCTACGCTCTTCCACGGACATGTTCAGGAAGGAGACACCTGTGTGTCTCTTGGCCCTTGAGAGTTATTGGCTGCACAGGCAGGAGGACAGCCTCTGCATGCTGGTTGGGTACAAACACACTGCAGAGGGGCTGCTATTGTGGCGTAGGGGGTTAAGCTGCTGCCTGCAAGCATCCCATATGGGCACCGGTTCAAGTCCCAGCTGCTCCACTTCCAATCCAGCTTCTTGCTAATGTGAATGGGAAAGCTGCAGAAGATGACCCAAGAGCCTGGGGCCCAGAACCCACGTGGGAGACCCGGATGAAGTTCCTGGCTCCCTATGCCATTGCAGCCATTTGAGGGATGAATCAGCAGATGTAAGAGATTGCTCTCTGTAACTCTACCTTTCAAATAAATATTTAAAAGAAAAAGCCAACACACAGTGTGGAAATGACAGGGGCACAGAGCTCATGTGGTTCTCACGTCCAGGTGAGGGGCACGGGGACCTGCACTAGGTGACGTTGGGAGTTGCTGAATGGTGCGGGACTACTGAGATTTTTCCTTTTCTTTCTATTACTTTCAATAAATTCTCCCCATCTGCACTTGGTTTTCTTTTCTGTTTTCTCTCCTACTAAAATATCTTCATGAGACCTTGTAGTTTCTCAATTTGCTATAGAGGAAGAGGTACTAAAATAGCAACGTAACAAAACACTGCCAATAAAATGTCGGTTTCTCAAGCCAGTCTTACAGTCTCTTTCAAGTAAGTGTGGGGACTGCTTGGCTGCCAGCTGTGCTCCCCTCTCTGAGACCGCTGGACACGGAGGTCCTCAAAAAGTGCAGAGGCTCCAGCCATCCTAGATGTTTTCAGAAGTCACAGAGCAAGGAACGAAAATGCACTGTGTGCCCGACGCTGGAGATTTCCTCTCACTTCTTCCCCTCCACCAGCGGGGGAGCAGGCAGGGAGAAATGCCATTGTCTGCTGGATGGCCTAAGGAGCAGGGGGACGTGCCCAAGCTGCATTGCTAAAGACAAAAAACGCAGGTTTGAGCCAGGCCCCCCCCCCCCAGCACATCCTGCCCCCGGCTGCACAACACTGGCACACATGCTCCCTGTCGCCCCACATGGTAACTTCCCAGCTATCCTGAGTTCTGTGCTGTTCATCTCTGTCCTTACAGGAGCCTGCCACGCACTGTGCTGCAGGATGCAGCCAACTCGACTGTTCAACATGAAGACGCATTTTACGGCGGTTATGGTAAACGGACCTCCACGCTGAATGGGAAATGCCAAGCGTCCCCAGCTGCCACAGAGCTTACAGCCCACGTCTCTGTTTCCCCGGGGCAGGTTTCTAAAACCAGCCCCAGCTGCAAACCATCTTGTAACTCGGGAAGGAGCAGTAACTCGGGAAGGAGCAGCAATGCACGCACCGCGTGTTGCAATCCTTTTTAGTTGAATTACCTGAGTGTATTTCTAACTGCAGCGGCATTTCTTCGTGTGGAGACAGCACATAAGCTCAGCCCTCTCCAAAGTATGTGGTTATTTATTGAAAAAAAAAAAATACTTTATAGCATCAGAGATTGTCTTCAATTCTCAGTAGTTTAAATATTCTAGAATGTTTTTCCTTTTACTGATGAATAAGCAATGTGGGTTCTCAATAAATATTTTTAGGTCATTCAAAAAAGTTCACCTATAAATATGCTTCAGTGGTAAGTGCATAGAAAGAAAAATCTAGAAACCACATAATGTTCAGTAACAAGACAGCTCAAGAGCTTCCACTCAAGCACAAAAAGTATTCAGAAACTTTTCTTAGTAAGATAAATGCTCCAGGCCGGCGCCACGGCTCACTAGGCTAATCCTCCGCCTAGCGGCGCTGGCACACCGGGTTCTAGTCCCGGTTGGGGCACCGGATTCTGTTCCGGTTGCCCCTCTTCCAGGCCAGCTCTCTGCTGTGGCCAGGGAGTGCAGTGGAGGATGGCCCAAGTGTTTGGGCCCTGCACCCCATGGGAGACCAGGATAAGTACCTGGCTCCTGCCATCGGATCAGCGCGGTGATCCCTCATTGGAGGGTGAACCAATGGCAAAAGGAAGACCTTTCTCTCTTTCTTTCTCACTGTCCACTCTGCCTGTCCTATATCTCAATATCAACTCTGAACAAAAAAAGATAAATGCTCCAGCTAATCAGTGTTCAGTAAAGACAACAAACCGGTAACCTCCAGGTCGCACCCTTCCTGCATGGACACGGAGGGGAGGGCCCTCCTGGCACACCAACATGGCAGCAGGGAGACCCTGGGCAGCATGGAACACTGTCCTTATGGATTTTCTGTCCAGGAGCTATAGAGTTAAGCAGGTGATAAGTAACTCTGATGAGTAACAGTGAAGCAGTGAAGGTGACAGCCGTAACAATGACAAAAAAGTAACAAATCCAAAGGATAGGGGCTCAAGCCCCGGGGCAGGCAGCCCTCTCCTACCTTGCTGGATGAGCGCCTCAGCCGCCAGCTCCCCGCTGCCCACGTTGCTGTACTCCTCGTTGGGGTGCTTCCTGTTGTAGTGCCGCTTCAAGGAGCCAGAGATGTTGCAGGAGTAATGGCAGTGGGCACAGCAGAAGCGTTAGACAAGGAGACAGGCAAGGTCGCCCTTCTCCTCTTCCCCCACCTGGTGGGTACCTGGCCCAGGGAAAGCCCCTCCCACCCGTGCCACACCCGATCTCAGGAAGGCTGAGCCCTGCCTCTCCGCCACCCGCTGAGAGCCCAGAGTGGGAGTTTGTTTCCAGTAGCTCATCTCTTTTCTGTTTTGTCCACCGCAGAACTCAAGAGTCCGGTTGCAGAATTAGAAACCAAGAGAAGGCAGTCAGCTACCGCTTTCTATTATTTCCCTGATAGATGGCTGCTGTGGCTAAGTGACCGCCTCCTCTGCACTCACCTACAAGCACCTGCACACACGAGCGCCAGTCGTTAGGGAAGTTCACGTGGGAGAACTTATTCCCAAGCCCACCTGGGCAGGACGAGCACTTTCAGGGTAAGGGCACAGATGAGTCTGCAGTCGGTCTGCCTATTACACACTGCTCTGGGGGACCCGTGAAGGCCTGCTCAGGCCTCCAGAGGGCCCCGGTGAGACCTGGCCATCGGCTGTGCAACACATGTGCGTGCATCTGCATTCCTACCACATCTCAGGCCCCTACCTGTGGGCAGAAAGGCGCTGAGTATCCTCCTACCAGGGGAGGGAAACCTTTTGTTCTACCAGAGGCCATTTAGATATTTGTAACATCAATCACAAGCCATATAAGATTATCAACTTAGAAATTAGCCTGCTGGGGCTGGCATTGTGGTGTAGCAGGTAAAGCCACCGCCTGTGATGCTGGCATCCCATACGGTTGCCAGTTTGGGTCCTGGCTACTCTACGTCCAACCCAAGCTCCCTGCCGATGGCCTGGAAGAAGCAGCGAGAGATGCTGGATGGAGCTCCAGGCTCCTGGCTTTGGCCTGGCCCAGCATTGGTCATTGTGGTCATCTAGGGAGTGAACCAGCAGACGGATCTCTCTCTTCCTATAACTGCTTCAAATAAATAAATAAATAAATGTTACTTTGAAAAAATAGCTTGCAATAGACTTATTGAAATTTGAGTCCCACACCTGCAGTTGCCTTGGCAGAGCCAGACCAAATGATTCTGCGGCTTTACACGGCCCACGGCTGGACATTCCCCACCCCTGTCCTAAGACGCGTGCTGTACGACTCAGACACGAGTGCTACAGGGATCCTAGTTTGCACTTGGGTCCATGTGCCGAGAGCAGCTTCCCAGCTCAAAAGGAACAGAGGCGCATGGTGTGGCCCATGGTGGTGGCAACACGCTGCATGTGCGGAGGATTCAGATGGGACCGGGGCACCTCTGACAAGCCATGCTTCCTGTCTACGTGAAGGATTTCACCACAGCTCTGGCTGTGCACCCAGGAGCTGATGTGGCGTGGTGTCCATGAGCCCACCTCCACTCCTCCACAGCCCACTCACGGATCTTTGCGTCACTGTTATTACCCAGAGGAGCCACACAGCCACAGTGGCGTCTGAATGTCTCAACAAACAGGGAAAGGGCCCTCTCTCTCCCACTTTCAGAGGTTTCCTCAAGCCTCCAAACGTGCTGAAGTCTTCCCACTGAGAGAGGGGGAGAGGGGAAGAGGAACCCTACCCTGCCCTCTGCCTAAGCCCTCACACTGCTGCCCATCCTCCCCACGCCCAACCCCAGACAGCAGTCCCCACTCAGCCTGTCCAGGCTCTCCCCCACCACTCAGGGCTCAGAGACCCCCGGGGCAAACAACTGCTGAGCTCTCCTCTCGCCTCCTCCGGCTGCACCCTGCGCCGTGACACTGTGCACCTGCTGGGTGATTCACTAGATCTGCTTCCCAAGGTCTGAAAGTCAAGGAGGGGTCTCCCCAAGGTGCTGTCCCAGGGCCAGGCTAGATCCACAAGCCTTGACCCACAGACGGGCATCTCCACGGGGACTCTCTGTGGGTGCCTTAAATAAACACAGGAGGCTTTGCGTGACATCAGCTGCTCTCTCAAATGGACAGGCACCCTGGCTTCTCCTTCTCTCCTGCTGCCCCTCTCATCTCTGGGGCCCGATGCCCTTCCTGGGGAACCTCTCCAGATCCTGCCCCTGCCCCTGCCCGTCTCCATCCGTCACTCTGGCTCGGAGAGGGGTGCTGGCCCAGCACAGAGGGAAGGTGCTGCCCCAGGAGGGCATTCTAGGGCAGAAAGACACAGGGCGGTCACTCCAGGGTATCAGCACGCTGTGACACATTCCCAGGACCCGGCCCCGCATCCAGACCACACTCCACTACTCTGCCTGTGTTAAGTTCCTACATTCAGCCCCTCACGTAAGAGAATCCTCATGGTTTGGCCCAAAGGGTTTACTACACAAAGGGAGCTACAGCAAATGCAAAATTAGTCGGGATTTCTATCTACTGAGCAGCGGACAAACGACAGCCTAAAATTCCAGAGTAAAAGCTAAACTATTTTTGTACGTTTTCATCTCTAAGAAAAGCAGATATTATGAAGTCATTATCTTTGCCATGCTGGCACTTACACAGAAACCAAAAGAAAAGCTGGAATGCTACTCTGCTGGCACCGGCGGTCAGGGGGCACCAGAGCAGGGAGGGGAAAGGGCAGCTGAGGCAGGACCTCACTCAGGACCCTCCCCCCCTTCCTGTGGCAAGGCAGATCAAGACTACTGAGGAGGAAAGTGGCCGAAAGGCGAGCATTTAGGCAAACACCACAAGGTGAGCCCAGAAGTGAGATCAGTCTCCGAGCTGCCAGTCGCAATCAAAATCTCCAACTCTTTTTTTTTTTTTTTGGACAGAGTGGATAGTGAGAGAGAGAGACAGAGAGAAAGGTCTTCCTTTTGCTGTTGGTTCACCCTCCAATGACCACCATGGCTGGCGTGCGGCGGCCGGCGCACCGCGCTGATCCGATGGCAGGAGCCAGGTACTTATCCTGGTCTCCCATGGGGTGCAGGGCCCAAGCACTTGGGCCATCCTCCACTGCATTCCCTGGCCACAGCAGAGAGCTGGCCTGGAAGAGGGGCAACCGGGAAAGAATCTGGCACCCCAACCGGGACTAGAACTCGGTGTGCCGGCGCCGCTAGGTGGAGGATTAGCCTATTGAGCCACAGTGCCGGCCAAAATCTCCAACTCTTAAAGTCGGAAAGGACCCTGGCTTGGACTGTCTTCCCCCCATAGCAAGCCTTGTTCTGCTGCAACCCTGGCAGAATGAGGTCTGCTCAGCTTTGCCTCGATGCAGAGAAGTCACAGCTTCCCAGGGCCCCAGCAGCCCCTCCCCTGAGAATGGTGCTGGGGGTTAAAAATACAAAGCTCGAGGCAGACATGTGGTGCTGCAGTCACCAGGCTGCATCTCCTGTCAGAGTGCCTGGGTTTGAGTCCCACTCCGCTCCCTATTCCACCTTCCTGCTGGGCACCCCGGAGGCAGAATGTAGAGTGAATCAAGGGATGGGAGCCCCTCCGCTTCTCTCCCTTTCTCTCTGCCTCTCAAAGACAGACAAAGATAAACCCCGCTGATTCCTTCCTCTCAAAGACAGACAAAGATAAACCCCGCTGATTCCTTCCTCGGTCTTGCTTCTGCTCCCTCACACTCACTACAGCTTGAGAATTCCTTATCCAAAATGCTCGGGACCGAGAGTCTTTTCTGGATTTCAGATTTTGTCGGCTGTGTGTATAGACCTAAGGAGATGTGTCTCAAATACACCTTACACACAAAGCCTACAAGTAATTTTATACAATGTTTTAGTGATTTTGCTCAGGAAACAAAGTTTCATGGTGTGAATTTTCCACTTGTGTCATGTCAGCACTCAAAAAGTTCCTGCGACATGTTACATTTTGGACTTACAGGTTAGGGATGGTCAAGCTACAACAGCAGCTGCCACCTAACTTCTGCTTGGGGTCCTCTCTCCTGCACCATGGAGGCAGAGCTGCCTCTGGTGCCCGTGAGCTGAGCAAGCTCTGGGCTGTGAGGCATGGCCAGCGTCCCGCAGGGAACAGCACTAGGGCTGCAGCAGGTCAGGAGGCAGGCACGGAAGCTAAGCCCTGGCGGGCAGCATGACGCCTCACCGCCTTACTGATGCCGAACGTCTCGAGATTTCATCTATGAAGCACGTGTTTCCTGGCCTCCTGCTGTGAGTCTGGCGCTGTCCGACCCCAGGACACCATGACGAATGAGGCAGGTTTGCGATGCTCTGCATATATACGAGTTCAGGGACTCAGATATCACCTCCAAAGATTAAACGCTGTGTAGGCAAACTAAATCACCAAACTTTGTTTCTAAGTCAGATACTTGCAACTATCAAATGGCACTGGATCTCCAAAGAGAAGGTATTTACTCGGAGTTTCCTGGCCTGGAGCCAGCGGGAAGATATACACAGACAAGAGCAGCATAGCTCACTTAGAACAAAACAGCCAAGTTCTTGCTGTGGTCCAGGAAAAGGGGATTCAAGAAGAAGAAAGCAAGTCCATTGTCACAGCTACTTTTTTTTTTTTTTTTTTTTTTTTTTTTTTTTTTTGGACAGGCAGAGAGAAGAGACAGAGAGAAAGGTCTTCCTTTTTGCCGTTGGTTCACCCTCTAATGGCCGCTGCGGATGGCACGCTGCAGCCGGCGCACCGCACTGATCCGATGGCAGGAGCCAGGTACTGGTCTCCCATGGGGTGCAGGGCCCAAGCACTTGGGACATCCTCCACTGACTTCCCGGGCCACAGCAGAGGGCTGGCCTGGAAGAGGGGCAACCGGGACAGAATCCGGTGCCCCGACTGGGACTAGAACCCGGTATGCCGGTGCTGCAGGCAGAGGATTAGCCTAGTGAGCCGCGGCGCCGGCCTACACAGCTACTATTAAGTGATGCACAGGAGCTGTCGACCAAACTGCCGAGACTGCGCATCAGAACGGCTACTATTCTACCTCTATTCACGCATGTCCACCAGATACCTGAGTGTTTTACACAGGTCGATTCCCTTAAGTCTCACCAAATATCAAACGGCAGGTCCAGCTAATCATGCCCATT